GAGTCCAACCCCCTGCCCAGGCAGGAACCCTACACCATTTCAGACAAACGGCTGTCCAGTCTCTTCTTAAAAACTTCCAGTGTTGGAGCATTCACCACTTCTGGAGGCAGGTTGTTCCATTGGTTAATTGTTCTAACTGTCAGGAAGTTTCTCCTTAGTTCTAAGTTGCTTCTCTCCTTGATTAGTTTCCATCCCTTGCTTCTTGTTCTGCCTTCAGGCGCTTTGGAGAATAGCTTGACTCCCTCTTCTTTGGGGCAGCCCCTGAGATATTGAAACACTGCTATCATGTCCCCCCTCGTCCTTCTCTTCGTTAAACTAGACATACCCAATTCCAGCAAGCATTCCTTATATGTTTTAGCCTCCAGTCCCCTAATCATCTTTGTTGCTCTTCTCTGTACTCTTTCTAGAGTCTCAACATCTTTTTTACATCGTGGTGACTAAAACTGGATGCAGTGTTGTTTTGTTCAATGATTTATGTGTTTGTTTCCTTGGCTGGGAAGGAATAACACATATAAACGAGAAATAAGAGATTAGTTGGCAGCTTATTAGTTGGCAGCTTATTTTATAAGCCACATCTTAGCCCTAGGCGCAGAAAACCTGGGGAGCAGCATTTCCAATCATTCCAAAATTAATTAAATGATTAATTATCTAAAAATGAGGAAATTCCTCTTACAGCCTCCAGGGTAATGTGTTTACCCTACACACCATTAGAGACTTTCCTGAAATCTGTGTTGTTTTTCTGTGAGGTTGGACAGATATCTCAGATATTCAAGACCAAGTGCAGATGCCACATTGGAAGGCTGATAAAAGCAAACTCCTTCATTACAGAGAAGCTTCTGTTGCCATTTCTTTCTGTTGTGGTTGGTATTCAAGATTCTCATTAATGTCAGAACCCTTCTGAGATATTTCCTTGTGGTTTCACACTTCAGATGGTGAAAAAGAGCTCACATTTCCTTTGTAGCCCAAAGACCAAACTACATTGCTTCAGACAGGAAGGCGGTGCAGAGAGTGGTGAGGATGGCCAAAAAGGTCATTGGCAGTTCCCTCCCTCCCATCCAGGACATAGCACAGAAGCGCTGCTTGAGCAGGGTCCGTAAGATTATCTGGGACACAACACATCCTCTTCACGACCTGTTTTCCTTGTTACCTTCGGGGAGGAGGCTTCGTGGTATCCGTAGCGGAACATCCAGATTCAGCCAGAGTTTCATTCCGTACAGCATTAACCTTGTGAACTCTCAAGCTTCCTCCTTCCGTTATATATTCAAGATGGACAGTATTTAATATTTATTTGCTATGTATATGTAGGGATGTGGGTCTATACATATGTTGTTCATAGTATGTTTAGGGGTGTGTTTCATGTATGTGTTTCACTTTGAGAGCAGGCAACTAAATTTCATTTTTGATGTGTGCCGTTGTGCCCACAGTAAAAAAAAAATGACAATAAAGGTTATCTTATCTTATCTTATCTTATCTTATCTTATCTTATCTTATCTTATCTTAATCTTAATCTTAATCTTAATCTTATCCACCTTGAAAGAATGAAGAGGGGTATATGACATTAAGCCTGTCTTCTTCATGACTCCAAGTATGGCTTTGTCTTTTAATAATTACTTCTACTGATTAGCAGTTGACTTTTGCTAGGGTGTGTTTATGTTGAGTAAAGACTAAGACAGTGGTGGCGAACCTTTTAGAGACCGAGTGCCCAAAAACTGGCCCTGCCCTCACTCCACTCCCCACCCCACCCCGCCCCACTCCACTCCGCCCCCACCCCATCCCCCACCCCACTTGCCCACAGGGCCACTCACCGCCTCCAGGGCCCACCGCAGATCACCCGGGCAGCCCAGCAGCACCATGGTGGCCATGCCCTCTGCCTGCGTGATGGGGCATGAGAGCAGAGTCTTGTCTATGCTGCCTGGCTGCTATGTCCTTGGCTGCGCTGTTCCGCTTGGGCCAT